CCGTGGTATCCGGCACGGACACCTCACCGGAAAGTATGCCACCTGGAAACGGGGATCCGGCACCGGATACCTCAATCTGGGTGTCCAAGGATCCGGCACCGGATACCTCATTCTGAGTTTCCAAAAACATGTCACAATTTGGGGGGTGCATTTTGTTCAATTAAGTGTGAAACACCTAAAAATAAATTGGAAACTAACCATGAAAATTGAACATTGCTGACGGTATCCGGCAGGTATCCGGATGCAATTTTTCGAGATGTTTTTCTCCTAGTAAATAATGTTAGCCTGGGCATATCAGATAGCTGTAGTAATATTCTGTGTTATTTTAGTTGTAAATATCCCCTTAAAGTTGAGATCTATGGGCATGTACTTTTGGTGAAAACATTTTTCAAGTTCATATATATTTTTCATTCATATTATATGTTCAGCGTATTAAATGAAAAGCATTTAGTCCTGGTATGATGGTATCCTTACATTTCATCTTCATATTCCCAGTTTGTTCTAGCCTAGTGGTTGAGGCGTTCGATTCACCACATCCGTACATTGCTTGGTGTCACCCATCATGATATTGTTGGAATTTTGCTCATAAAGTGGCATAACACCATACTCACTCTCACAAAAAAATGAAAGTCATTGGCTATGTGCTCACTTGGGCCTTTGTTCCTGGTGAGATTAAAAGATTATTTTGGAACTGTATCAGTACTAGTTACATCTTGACAGACGAGTTTCATTGAAGTTTGAAACAGAATATCATTAACCCAAATGGGTGCATAAGACTAATGGCAACCACAGAAAACACCTAATAAAGTACTGGTACATAAAAATATCAATGTAATTTTTCGACTGACATGGAACTAAAAACTTCGTTCAGTGAGCTGTATTTATTGTAGGAAAACATTCAGGGCATTAGTATATTTGATATATGTAAGCACCTATGTTATGAATGATCAATATCATATTTCTTAAAGAAGCAAAACAAAAAAATTGTTAAGATAAAAAATCATATTTATTGATTTTATGACATTTCATTGGTTCAGTAACCAGAGGTGTTTGCAAGAACATCCAAAAACAGAAACAAATTAGTCAAATCTCAGAAGAATTTCAAGGTAGAAGAATATCTAAAGTCAATTATGTTTGTGCAGTAAACCACAAAAGTCATTCATATTGGTATAGTCAGCGTCAGTGTACACCACATAAACATAGTCTCACTGCTGTGGTATTAATTCCTTTAGACTTGATTAGTGTCGTAATAAAACAATCTACAGAATCACACTGATGTGACATTATTCATTCAGAATCATCACTTTCTGAGGTGAACCTGTTAGTTGTTCTGGGGAGGATTATTCATCACCCGGAGAGTCCTTTGTATGACTTGTCTGATCTGGTGTCATTGTGAAATCCAGGTACCTGAAACAATTTATAACATCTTTAAAAGCTTGTTATTAAAAATATAAGAAACACACATATATTGACAAAGGGTAAAAAGTTGGTTTCTCAAGGAGTAAGGTAATGACAATTTATCAAGCAACTGTTAACCAAACCATGTTAACCAATGTAAAAAAGCCATAGCAAACAGTAAATTTTACAGAAGATACAAAATTGTAATTGATCTTCTGAAAACAATTCCTGTAGTGCCATAAGGCTCACCTGAATTTTTCTCAAATGTTTGCATTACATCAAAATATAAGGAAGGGTAAACAAGGCAATGCAAAATTGCATAAAATAGGTTCTTATACATAAAAACAGTACTACCGTATTTGACGTAATAAGTGCCTCGCTCTAATAAGCGCCCATGGGAATATTTGCTAATATATTGGTTAGTGAACAATCCCAATTAGCACCCTTTCCAATTGATCAATGTATACAAGACATATTTATTTGCGTATAATACACACTCGTGTGTGATATGCACCCTTAATTATGGGGAATTTAATTCTGGAAAAATATATTTGTCTTACATAAACATTTCAGGCTGCCAGCATAAACCACAAAATTTTGAGAGCGCCCTGGGCGCTTATTACCTCGAATACGGTATTCATAATTATCAAAACTTTCAATCACACAAGTCATGAAAGTGATCTCAAAATACTATATAATGAGTGAGCAAGTTGGTATAGTTTCACACAGCTTTTAGCAATATTCCAGCAATATATCTGCGGGGACACCAGAAATGGGCTTTTCACACAGTACCCATGTGGGGAACAGAACCAAGTGCTTCGGAAAACGCATTACCCACTACCAAATACAAATATCATCTCAAATACACGAGTAAGTAACATTAGGATTTCATACAACAGATATTTTCGCCAAATATCAAGTCACTATACAACTGATTAAATTACTGATCAGAGGAGCAAATACATTTCAATGTAGCAGCTGAATCAGGCTTAATTTGAATCGTTCCTTGCTTTAGTTGCAATGGGAGCCACATTGAAAATAATTATCTCACTTATTATTGATAAAGACACTGATACAAAAAATCAACTGAAAAGAACCACCTGAACAATCGCCTAAAAACCATGTATATTACATTTAACATGTTTAAGGGACCTTAATTCGGCTACTGGCAATAGTATGGGCGGATACAGAGGGGGGTGCGCACCCCCTTTTTATTTCGAAAAAAAACTTTATTTCTGTATAAATTACCACCAAAGACAATAAATAGATCTTAATTGTGCACCCCCTCCCCCCTTTTCAAAAAAGCTGTATCCGCCCATGATTAGTCATGAGTAAAATCATTATCATATTTTTATCATTTAGCCTATCTTTAATTAAGATTAAAAGGAAAAAACTGCCAAATATATTGGTCAAGTGTAATCATAATTTAAGTAGTTCTATTTGGTTTTGGAATTTTTCAAGGGTAATTGTAAATATATGTGTATTCCTATTTGAATGCTCATTTGATTGTTATAGTTATAATTGCATCTATCATCTGTTTCTAAATACAGTGGAACCCATCTTTGACTTGTGTGACATAATTGAATCATACCCCAAGTTCATTATGCATTGTTATGCATCTGCACAGAGTGGTCCAAGTCCTTGTCACACACATAGTTTGCTACAAGGCAGAATCCAATAAGTACAGTTGAGACAACTGGTTGTATCCAGACAAACTGTCTGATAATCTCAAGTATGGTCTTGGTAGCATCAAGGGATGTAGCTAATCCTAAATAAACATTAAACAAGTGACATAATCTCTTCTACAGAACACATGATCAAAGCCTGCCCCACCTTTGATGTTTATCATCTCGTTACACTCACAGCAGCTCATTAGCAAGATGAACTCAATGTCAACTCATGGTGGATTAACAGGGCAATTAGTGTCAGGTGGGTATTATCACTTGCAATTGTCTGTTAATTACTTAATTGAGTAGTGACGGCTTAGTTAGTTTCCAACCACACTGACTGCTATGCTACTTATCAAGTCAGTTTACTGGTAACATGTTTCTGTGGACCAAGGAAATGTATCATGTCAGATACTTAAAAAGTTCTACGCATCAGTTATAAAATAATGACAGTTTTGATATGCAATTCTCCCTACAAAGACATTTAACATTTGAACTGTCTGTTGAAACTATGATGATGCTAATATACAAGTCGCACAAAACAACTCATTCATATACTGGTACCTAGCCAAACATACATAATTTTTTTACACGTATGCACATGCTTGTACACATATACCTCTACTGGCATATCACACATACAAACAATCATTAGATGGATGTAATCGTTTAAAAATATTTTACTTACAATAACAAATGAACAGATTCTGTAATAGCATGGTTAAAATTGGGAGATGTTTTAGCATTTCCATTTTCACAGAATCGAAGTCATATCCTTTTATGACTCAAATCAGCTTGTAGTGATTTAAATTCACATAAAACTGATTCATGTCAAATGACCTGTCCCGCATGTGTGGCACCTGTTAGAAAAATACCATTCATTACTTATTTGTGTGTCCAAATTATGCTATTATTAGAAATAATAGGTATTATTATACAGCATGGATATGATATAAGAAAGCTTTATATGGAATTGTTGAAAGTTATGTACAGGAAAACATTGAAATAAATCAATCAATACCTGCATTTATCTCAGAATCGGGTAGATTTAATAAATATTGACTTCTCCTTCATTATCTACTTATAATCAGATGATTACATTATTGCTCAACTGATAGTTTGCAATAGTATAGAATTAGTATTTTATTAATACTTATTTTGTATTTGAGCATCATTTAGATAAGCTTGTTTGCAAATCCAGTTCACTATGAAAAAAAATATGTTTAAAACACATGTAGTAGAACATATTGCAATAGTTAAGACCTGAAAAGAACTTATGTGTAGGATCCTCAAAATGGTATCCACAAGAGCAGGTTGTAGAATCATGTTGGTGTTTGTTGTTTAACTCTGCACTCAGCCATATTCCAGCTATATGACGGCGGTCTGTAAATAATCAAGTCTGGACCAGACTATCCAGTGATTGACATCATGAGCATCGATCCACACAATTGGAATACAATAACATGGATCAACCAAGTCAGCGAGCCTGATCACCCGATCCATTAAGTTATCTCTTACAACTAGCATAGGTTGATCATGTTGATGGGGACAAACTTCAACCTGGAATCCCCACATGAGTAAGTATGCGGCTGTTAGCTTTGTTTGATGTTTAACGCCACACTCAGCAATATCGCAGCTATGTGGCAGGAATCAAACCTGGGTCTTCAGCACGAAGAGTGAACGCTTCAACCACTAGGCTACCCCACCACCAAAAATTCCCCCATGATAAGTTGTCATCATGGTTATTGTTCAACTAGTTCAAGTGAAAATGTTCATACCCTTAAAATGTCTTATCTTCCACTTCACGATGATCTCTGATGCAAAACTTCCCTGTTCTTGATTCTTCACATCTGGAAAAATATGTTGAGGCTATTAATCATTCTCACAGAGTAAAGGGAGTATATGAAATAAGACAGTGAGTCACATTAGCATACAAATTATCCTGGGTCCCGTTCCACAAAGCGATCGTAACTACAATCAATCTTAGAGACTTACGTCGATTATAAAATCGTCTTAGCTAAAGTTTACGCCCGTTCCACAAAGCTATCTTAGGGCGATTGTAACTTTACAAGTTCTTAAGTAGCCGATCTTAACAAAGATCGGAATCTTCAGCCATGAAGATACGAAAGTTTCCCTAAGAGTGGCCTCCCTTGGTCATGTTTAGCAGACGACGCATTGTCGAAATATGGCCGAATCGCAGACCTCTGTCGGCGTCAAACACGTTCGTCGCAGCAATTTTTCAGCAAGCGAGATCGCTGTCCTTGTTGATGAGGTGGCTGTTCACCACACGACACTGAATTCCTCTTTCAGCTCTACCGTCACCAATAAGCTGAAAGACAGCATATGGGAGGACATCGCTAACAAGTAAGTGAGCTGTGGACTGTCAGAATGTTATCTGATATAATAATAAGTCAACATACGCCATCTTTGTTGTTATGGTACAATATTTAAGATCGATTTTAGCGATCCTAAGTTGGTCCGGAGCAACTTAGCATTTTGATCTTAACTTACAACTCTCTTAGTTAAGATTGCTTTGTGGAACGGGCGGCCGATCGTAACCAAAATTTAAGATCGCGTACTTAGTGAGTTACAATCAACTTAGCCCTAAGATCGCTTTGTGGAACGGGGCCCAGTTAAGGTAAACATATTTCTACATTATATACATAAGCAAATACTAGCATATGTTAGACAGGCTACTTGTCCTAAAAAAATATAGGCCCCGTTCCACAAAGCGATCTTAGGGCTAAGTTGATTGTAACTCACTAAGTATACGATCTTAAATTTTTGTTACGATCAGCCGCCCGCTCCACAAAGCAATCTTAACTAAGAGAGTTTTAAGTTAAGATCAAAATGCTAAGTTGCTCCGGACCAAATTAGGATTGCTAAAATCGATCTTAAATATTGTACCATAACAACAAAGATGGCGTCGTCTGCTAAACATGACCAAGGGAGGCCACTCCAAGGGAAAATTTCGTATCTTTATGGCTGAAGATTCCGATCTTTGTTAAGATCGGCTACTTAAGAACTTGTAAAGTTACAATCACCCTAAGATCGCTTTGTGGAACGGTTGTAAACTTTAGCTAAGACAACTTTAGAATCGACGTAAGTCTCTAAGATTGATTGTAGTTATGATCGCTTTGTGGAACGGGGTCCAGGGCGCCATTTTAGAACATGGATGTAAACAAACCTCGTGTATCGGTATACACTGTGATGCTTGATTCCGATAAGCTTACCTCGTGTATCGATACATTGTTCTCATTCACCTCCACCGCGGAAATGCCGGTCGAAGTTCTTCTGAGCCATCCACAACGCTGAAGTCAACAGTATTTGGAAAGGCGATTGGCAGCAAATGCGGATGCCAGGTACGTAGCAGGGCTTCGTGACCTTATGATTTCTGTGCAGAGATCTTATGGAACGGATTGATTTAGATATTTTCCTGCTCTACATACTTTACCGTAAACGCCAAGGGTCCTTTTTTAGTATTATGATCAACTGTTTGTTATGACGACAAGGATTTGCATAAGGGGCGTAATGGATTTGCGGTCAAAACAAGATGATCCAAACTAGATCCGCTTTTTATAGATAATGATGAAAAGTACAAAGATCTAGGAACGATTATTAACACTTAACCTATCGTGGGATGCTAATACAGACTATAATTTACAATAATGGCCACCAAAGACATTATTTTTTTTACGCTTAAGATATTTTAATAATTACACTGTCATGTCCTTGCTTCATAACTTAATAATTCAACATTTCATGGAATGACTCTGACCTTGGCGAGGATGTTTTTTGCAACAAGTGATTCCCTATGTAAAGTGTATGTTGAATGACCCTGGCTTTGTTGTCAAATAATTGTTTGACAGTTGTTAAATATGGGGTTATGTTTTATCTCTGAATGTTTGGGATGAAATATTTTAATAAGGACAGTTCTAAGTTGGAATCTCAACTGGGGTCTTTTCAATTGAATTCAATGTACAGCATGTACAGTTTGGACATTTCTGTAATGTGAATGCTTATGTTTGCAGAATGTCTGGATGAATGAATGAGTCAGTCATCTGCACAGCATCAATGGAAAAAGAGAAGCAATGAGGAACAAGAGAAAGAGTAGCAGTGAGTGGTAAATATTTGAAATTATTCTGTTTGGTTCATCATGTTCATGTAGCTATTCTGCAAATATTTCTTCAGTTTGCTTGTTCTTTATCACCTGTTGGCATGGATGGCCTAATTATCAAAGGCACCACAACTTGCTGTGCATAGTTGCATCTCTTGGGCTTGACAGAAACCGATGGTCGTGGGTTTGAATCGAGGGTAGCATCATACACTTGCTTGTGGGTTTCATCAAAGTGGTAAACATGTAAGACCTGCATCACTTCGGGCTTTCTTCCCACATCAAGCTTACATGCCGTGATATAACTGGAATACTGTTCAAAGAGGCGTTAAACCCAATTAACTCATTTAACACCACATCCAGCAATAGTTTGGCTAAATGACAAGGATTATAAACAATCAAATCTCAAATCTCAACTAGACAAACCAGTGATTAATGTTATGAGCTCGATCCAGACGCACCGATGATGACTGTTATGGACAACATCCCATGTTATTGGGTACGATTACGAGCGATCAATGACCCCACTTGCTACCTCATCTATTACTTTGGCTTGTATGGCAAGCATAGGTTGCTAGGAACATTTTTAAGAGATGTCAGTTAATGATTGTTTCAACTCATCAGCATGGAACAATATATATCTCAAATGTTTGGTATATAACAAAACTCAAAGATGATATATTAAGTGAATTTGCTGCCTTTTATCTGTAAGTACATGTTGCAACAATTCTTTTCTATTGCTACAATCTTTATACATAAATCTGCAGAAACTGAAGTCCAGCTTGAGATACCCGGATGACAGGTTGACAGTCTGGAAGGACCCTTCAAGATTTCCGAAGTGATTGGCAGACAGCGATGAGGAGAGTCCTGTTATTTCAATGGGGGCCTACCGAGAAGTTATATGCCAATTGACACTGGGACACACTCACAAAGGCTTGTCTGGCTAATGTGAGAAGACCATCCAATGCCAAGTTGGAGTGGGACCCTTCAAGGACGTTGAAGAAATTATTGTCTTTGGCCATGTGGTAATCACTTGAAAGGAATGATGTTTGCGACTACTTGTCTATAAATGTGGACCCAAACACCAAATAGAATGTTCACAATTCTACTAACACAATGCAACAGGGATAGAGCCCATCTGGCCTCCCTTCATCCTGGTTCCTGTTTTTCCATGGCAATATAGAAGGAAAAGGATGTTTGAGGGCAAGTAACTCTGAACTGGTGAGCATGGTCTGCTGATGCTTTCAAGCGAACAGTTATCCCGCTCTGTTATGAGTATTGAAGAATAGGAGGAAATTGCATACTGCCTCAGGAACCATCATGTGAACACTGTTCAATGTGTGATATAGGTATATAAATAAAAGAAATTGATAATTTGTTTGTTGTTTATGTTTCATTAGCCAGCTGTGCAAATGGGGATTTTCCAATATTTTGCCTCAGTTTGATAGCCACAGTTATCGTATGAAACCATGCATTGCTTGGACATCTTTGTAATAACACATTGATCTGCTATGTCAAAGGTCAATGTCATAGCCAGACAAAAAAATTGTTAATGGCCCAACTCTTCCTTAGGGCAGGGAGAGAAGTTGGCAAAAGGTCATACACTTACTTTTTATCCCCCCCCCCCCCCCCCAAAGTACATGCCCATAGATCTCAAGTTTAAGGGGATATTTACAACTAAAATGACACAGAATATTACTACAGCTATCTGATATGCCCAGGCTAACATTATTTACCAGAAATAAGACATCTCGAAAAATTGCATCCGAATACCTGCCGGATACCTTCAGCAATGTTCAATTTTCTTGGTTAGTTTCCAATATATATTTAGATGTTTCACACTTAATTGAACAAAATGCACCCCCCAAATTGTGACATGTTTTTGGAAACTCAGAATGAGGTATCCGGTGCCGGATCCTTGGACACCCAGATTGAGGTATCCGGTGCCGGATACCCGGATTCCAGGTGGCATACTTTCCGGTGAGGTGTCCGTGCCGGATACCACGGATCTGGTATCCGGCAAGGTATCTGCCACCGGATACCCGGACGCGTTTTGGGTAAGTGTCCGGAGGTATCCGGCAGGTATCCGGATACCGGAAACTGCATTTTTTTTGCTGTGATATAATCGTATTTGTAAACACTGTAATACAAACAGTATCGAAGACGAGGTTCATTTCTTAACAACGTGTAATCTTTATGCAGATCAACGAGAATATGTTTAGGGTTATGCCTCGTCTCTTTGCCAATTTTTTTGTCTCATGACCCCTATAGATCAAACCACATTCCTTATGAAGTGCGATAATTTATCCTATTCTAGCTGCACTAATTAAATCCATGTACAAACGTAGGTTATATAACAACGTGTCATAAACCCATTCTAGTATTGTATGCCTCTGTATATTTTATAAAACATGTCATTGTATGGCAATGCTTGTTATAAATTTACGAGTATTTTATTTTTATCACGTATTTTGTGCACCATTAATAAATAAATTCATCACTGTCCACTATAACTATTTTAGCACTTGCAGTGCTTTTAAGAACATTAGTGTCTAATAGGCCCACGCTGGCCGGGCGATGTATATCTTTTAATATATTTTACCTCCTGTATAAATTGATGAAATTTTATGTATACACCGCTGGACACTTAAATAAACTCTTCTTCTTCTTCTTCTTCTTCTTTACTTCTTCTTCTTCTTCATCTTCTTCTTCTTCTGTAAGACCAGCGACAGTCAATAAAAGCAAAACAGTTTGACATTGATTATTCTTTGCAAACCTACGATCACATAGCTGAAACTGGGTGTTTGCCTAAAAGTCGGGCCAAAAAAAAGCGACTAATATATACTAAAAATGGATTGCAGAATAATAAAACGAAACGTGCATGTCTATGATCTCAAATGTCCACAAACGTATAGTTTTGCTCATTTAATTGAGTTTGAATCAAAATGCATCTTCAACAATGTAATAAACTGGCCTATTTTGTGAAAGGATCAATATGTGAATTGTACCAGTTACACATATATGCCAGGTTCAACGCAAGCACTGCTACAGTTGAGACGATGTCGGACTACAGCAAGATGATGATGAACTATTTCGGCGCCTGTGGTGTCATGACAAACTTATCCCTGGCACGGGATTTGGGCCTGGTGAAGATGTTGGTGGAAGCCAAAGCCCCTCTCACATCACAGCAGATGGCTGACAAGTTGAACCTAAGAGAAAGGTAAGCCATGTAACGATTAGGCATTGTCAAACTAGCAACGTCATCGACATAAAGGGAAACTTGGAACATTTATAATACAACCTGTCCAACTGCTGACGTCTGTTTGTTTGTTTGTTTGTTGTTTAAGACAATCCAGTGATTGATATCATGAGCATCGATCCACGCAATTGGGATCGATGACATGCATCAACCAATCCCGTTAGTCGCATCTGACGACGAGCCTAGTTTTACGGCAAGCATGGGTTGCTGAAGAGCTATTCTACCCCGGATCTTCAAGGGTCAGCTGGTATATTGCTGAGTGCGGAGCTGGATATTGCTGAGTGCGGAGCTGGTATATTGCTGAGTGCGCAGTTTAATGCAACAAACAAACAAATACATACTTATACTATTTGGCCGGGTTGCCCAGGGAGCGGAGGGTAGATTGTTCGGACTTCGATCCCTGGTCGCGTCATATTAAAATACTTTAAAAGATTATTGTTCTTGGCGGTCGGCATAAGAGGATAAAACAAGGACTGGTCGGCTCGGAGTCAGTATAAACTACAGTTTGGTATCTTAAGGGGTTTACATAATAAAACGGGCGCTCGTCACAAGCAGCCGCGCACGCACACGCGCACACACGCCGCTGTATGAGTGCAATAATCTTAAACGCGACTTAATTAAAACCCCATTTCACATCATCCCCATTCGTCCGGGGCACAGCTTGTCCTGATACAACACTACTGAATCCCTTCTTACAACGTCTACACACTCATCAGCACAATGCTACACACTCCTACCCAGAGTTCCATGCGGCCATCGCCTAGACTAACATTTAGTCTCTGAAATCTTATATTACACAATATCCTTCTCGACTCTAAAAATTAAAAAAATCCCTATGCTGATGTGGAATAGAGCTAGCTTGAGCTGGCTAGACTTGCTTTTGTATGCGTTGCTAGATTATTTATTTTTTCATAAAATAAATATATTCCACGGTGTATTCTACACATTTTCATCAACAAATGACAAAGAACGGTTACGATTCATTAAGAAAGTATCATAATACGTGAAAATGTACTTGTTTTTGCGTAGCTATCCTTTGTTTAGATTGGTTGTACGGCTCCACGCGCTGTCATCAAAGCCTAACGGAGAGCTAGCAATACGGTCACTTTGATGTATATATTGTCATGAAATTCACTGTCGAAGTTGTAGTAGCATATATATATAATTATGCAAAACAAAATGTGCAGCGCCGCCAAATACTTGCATTCGTCCGTTCTATACTGATTTCTGAAAAAGCGCGTTTGTTAACAAAACAAGAGAAACGTCCGGCCACGTGATATGCAAATTAGCCCGTGGCAGTGGTGTTATGCTGAGTCACCACTGCGCCGGACTGTGCACAATACTCCACACCCATAATAAATAGTTCCAGGAGTTTGCAATTCCCAGTGAATCCCAGCCTAAAATGTTCACACTGCAACAGTAATATGATCATGCGCTTTGATCATGTTTGTATTAAATAAATAGACACATTATAAATATATTTTTGTCCACAGGTACGTGCGTGAGATCCTGGGTGCACTGGCTGTCGGGAGAATCATCAGCGTAGACGACTCCTCCACCAAGTTTCATGTTCCAGAAGACAACAAGGGCACACTGGATGCAATATCTGTGTTTGCCAGAGTTATTCCACAGATGGGTACAAGATATGAGAGTATCAAGAAATGTGCTCAACCACAAAACCATGGCGGTAAGGATACTACATTCATTGAGCCATACACAGCTCTCTTTGTTTCCAAAATTAGTCATACTGACCTATCGAAACAAAAACTTCCGAACATGCTCTGCATTATTGGTGGAACAAGTCGATGTGTGCCTTAGATTTGAACGGTTAAAATAGTACAAAATAGTTCAAAATTACAGCGGCGACGGGTCGCCCAGTCGTCTAAGGCGCCATAATTAGCTGTGCAGGTTGCTTCCCTTAGTCATGTCAGAATGCTATGATCGTGGGTTCGAATCCTGGTTCACCTTGACAACGTTTTTAGGTTTGTCACCACCATACTCGTGCTCGCTGGTTTCACTAAAGTTGTAAACGTCTGAGAACTTCAGCACTTCGGGCGTTCCTCCCGCAGAAGCTGAAAAGCTGTGATATAACTGGAATACTGTTCACAGCGGCGTTACAGCCTTATCACTAAATAACATCTCTACATTTACGGTTCGATACTGACTATGTTTTTTACGTACCAGCTGTCTATCGGTCGATGTCTTCCTAACGTGCCTACAGTCCCATGTAGCCTCCATTCAAATCATGAAATTGTATGGTCTGATGCTCACAAAGTGATGCAGGAGTGAACATGACTGTGATTCTTTCACCTGTGAAATGAGATACACTTTTCCATACTGAGACAACGATAAATATTACAAACATTGGAAATTTGATATTCGAATAAAATTAATATTGAGGACGGTGTAAAACCCAACTCACTCACTCGCTGATCAACAGCACAGAAAAGGTATATCATAATGACAAGTCGGAAAACTGAAAAAATACTATTTATGTGTATTTGCATAATTTCCTAAAAAAACAACCTTTTTTATTTTCCTGTTTTGGTATCCATTTTAACTGGTCTCGTGTCGCAAAACTTACTAGGACAGTTAATTAACTAATTGATAAGTTTTGTTAGTCTTTACCATCAGACCCGTGAAGATCCGGGGTAGAACAGATCTTCAGCAACCCATGCTTGCCGTAAAAGGCGACTATACGATCATTGTTTTGTTTTTCAAACACTGAAATACAAAGTATATATTGACAGAGCCTACAAATTCACAACTTTCACAACTCTACTACCTAACCCGTGAAGATCCGGGTTAGAATTGGTCTTCAGCAACCTGTGCTTGTAGGAGGCGACTAACGGGATCGGGTGGTCAGGCTCGCTGACTTCTTTGATGCATGTCATCGATCCCAGTTACGTGGATCGATGCTCATGATATTACTCACTGGATTGTCTGGTCCAGACTCGATTATTTACAGACCGCCGTCATATAGCGGGAATAATGCTGAGTGCACACCAAACCAACCAACCAACTTTACCATCACGACTGCAGAACGGTGCCCTCCCATCAGTCAGACCGCTTAAAGCAACAAATTATGTGGATGATTGCACAGATAACCCTATCTGTTGTACCTATATCAAAATCGTTTGGTCCAACAGGTGGTGACAGAAACAAGCACAAAGACCTTTGCATTCAAATTTTAATCCATATTCTAAAAAAAACCTTGTGATGGTGTTGTGCGTCGCGATAGCTCCATACGTCTCATTTAGTATTGATTTAACCTACCTCGGCTGTGTATGGAAGCCAGATATGTTGAAGATCTATTGACATAGTTATGTGAGTCACACATGTGCATAGACAGCTGTACTTTACCTTTCAAAGGTTCTAAATCAACCGCAAATTCTCTTTCACCAGGAACAATGTACAGTCATGCCCCGTTATACGGACTTCAGATATACCTCAAAATGTGGTAAAGTTCAAACTTCCATGACAGATGTTTTGAAACGTGTATGTCTTGAATAAAGATTGAGTGGATGTATCTGTTTGCTCTGTCATCTGTCATGAGTTGCATAATTGAAGGGAAGTAACTCTTCCAGTAAGAAGCTGGTTTCAGTTATACGGAAATTCGTTTATACGGACGAATTGTGAAATGACGTAATTGTCCGTATAAACGAGGTACGACTGTACGTACTACAAGCAAACGTTTTGTTTTGCAAGGATAAGTGGATACATTGCCAACAATTCGCAGATACATCGCGTATATTTAATTTAAAAAACGCCTGCCAAAAAGATGTTATGTTCTGTGGCCCTTAATAGGAGTTTCATGAGACTATACCCGTCAACACATGGCGAGCCATGGCTATAATGTTTCATTCCATTAGATTATTAGCTAAACCTATTATGCTGCAGTGTGAATGGGTTTGATAAATATATACACTATATATTTATGTATTTTCCCTGTAATAATCTATTCTTCTCGGCATGAATATATCAACATGTATTCTGTCTTGAACTTACATGCATGTCGTAGTTTGATAAATGCCTCTCAGAGTGGCCAATAAATGTATTTTTACTGTAATACAATTTAGACTTTCAAACCACCAATCTAATGATATTGGAGACAAATATCTCTATTTATTTGTTTGCAAATATATTGTAGATATAAGAAAGACATTATTGCCATTACACTATCTAAAGATCCCTTCTATGTTCAATATGATAAATGTATTAAATAGTAAAAATATCATTGTAATAAAGAAACTTTCTAGGTTTTGCTGCGAAATAATCAGTAAGCTTAACTATAATATTATATAATCTGCCGCCATATATTGACAACCTATATATAAAACCTCATTATGCTATATGCTATGTATCCTGGTGTGAATAATGTTCTGTTCTGTTCTGTAATGTGTGATGACGTCATCTATATATGTGGAGCCAGTCACGGCAGCCATTGAAAGAAGACTCAAACGCATGTCTCCCTCATTATCACCGTTGGTTTTGTCCCGAGAGAGGACACAAATCGTATCACTGGGGTTTCAGTTATGTCTTTTCTTCGAGTAATGTTCTGCTTTTAATTACAGGAATGGTCTACAATCAGTCTGATGCTATGTTTGAGGTGATGAAAGAGATTGTGGTCGTAGTCAAGAAAGATATGGTTGACACAGATATTCTGCCTGCGGTGTCCCTGCTGCTGCCCAAATTAGGTGGGTAAAATGGGCAGGTCAAAACACCTCAAATATGTGATTATGTCTGAGTACAACTATAAGATATTCAACGGGCTTAGCATTTCACATAAAGTTTATGTCCCGAGCTCAGGCGCATGTGTTATTGCTTTAATAATTCTAGGTGCATTAATACCACACGAGTGTCAGAAATATTGTCTCAGATGTTGATAATAGGCCATATATAATTCCGTTGGTATCACAACCTCATGAATAGGCGTAAGTTTACTTTTACAAATATTTTGGATATTCTGTGGGCAACAAAACATCGCCAAATAGAGTCGTCTATTTTACTATCAACGTTCATAGTTAAATCTGCTCACATCTGCTCATCTAGTCTACCTATAAGAGGCGACTACTCGGGTGACGTGGCTTGCCGATTTGGTTGATGTTTGTCATCGTATCCCCATTGTGTAGATCGATGATCATTATGTTAACCTCTGAATTGTCTGGTCCAGACTTGATTATTTACAGACCGTTGTATATCTGGAATATTGATGATGTGGCACGAAAGAACAAACAAACACTTATTCTCTACCTACAGTACAGTGGTCAGTATTCGTCTGTACTCATTTTGTACACATGGAATTTCAAAGGCCTGACTGAGTCCCTTTGTTCGGCTGTTTTGTCGATTTGATCAGACATCAAGAGAGAGAGAGAGATTCTTTATTTCCTCCAGAAGTTAATCCGAAGATTATACATAATTAATCAAACGTATTCACACAAACTCATATTACCTGTACATATATACAATACTAGACAGTAGCACCAGTGTCATGCCATTCACACAGTACAAAAGATTAGATCAGATGACATAACCAAGATAAGGCTTTAGTGTAAGTACATAAGCAGAAAATATCAGTATAACAGATTTTCCATGTAACTATATCAATACATTGTGAAAAGTGAGTATCAGCACCAAAGAAAAATGACAACATATCTTCTTCATCTTGTATTTCCAACTGGACATAGGTTTCAACATCAAGCAGATCAATAAAAGTTGAAAACAGTTCATTTCTTTCCTGCAGTAGAGCTTCACAATGTAATATGATGTGATTATAATAATCAAAGGCATGCTTGTTACACAATAAACAGTCCCTGGAAGTTTTGTTTCGTGATGAAACCCTAACACAAAATTTTAAACTTGACCTCTGTTCTGGGATCAGATATGCTAGTTTCCATAATATATGTTGAGTGAGCTTTGTGTATTACCATGAAGCGTGAAAAACCTGTTCTGACAGAAACTTTTCTGCGCCACATATTTTCTTCATATTAATAAATAGTTTTATTAACCAGTTGCTTCCAGTTTCTCTTTGTAGGAAATACACCACAGCTTACCTATGTACATTTACATTTGTTTACATTTATCTACACCTAGAACATTAAGTGATTTATGAAATTTGCATCATGTATACAAATTTGTTTCACGACAAAACCTAAATTACAAGGTATCCATTGTTGATTACGTTTGTAAACAACATATAATTGAGTGAATGAATCAATCGTGTTACTTCACAGTTTGCCCCCGAGAGAAGTTCCATGTCATTCAAAGTATGCATGCCATTTTAAATTTTGGCTGAACTTGCAAACTATTAAGGGGTGATGTAAATACTGCTGGGGTACCCTGCAGGTAGCAGAGGTATTGTAAGTATTGTGGGCACAAATCTGTGGCACGCCGGGGCATCGGTGAAACCCATCGATGCCCCCACATCGTCCTGCGACCGTTGTATATGTGACTGAGGCATTAGTAATATCACATATTGTATTCATGTAAGAAAGCGAATCCTGACATAGAGCGTTAACGCTTTTGCCACGAGGCTAAACCACCATGTCCCATGTCCTATAAGGTGGGGTATTACTTCCTCGGTTAAAAAACCCGGGTCAGACTAGGTTCCCAGCAACCAGTAATGTATGTAAGAGCTGATGACGTGACTTTGGTGATAGCGTGTCACAGTTGGCCGAAGGCGTTGATTGTTGTTCACTAATAGCAATCACGGGATTGTCTGGTCCAGACTCGATTATTTACAGGCCTAAAAAAGATAATTGAGTGAGTGAGTATGGTTTTATGCCGCTTTTAGCAATATTCCAGCAATATCACGCTGGGGGACACCAAAAATGGGCTTCACACATTGTACCCATGTCGTGAATCGAACCCGGGTCTTCGGCGTGACGGGCGAACACTTTAACCCCTAGGCTACCTGACCGCCCCCAAAGATAATTGTGATAACTAAATGAATATGTATCGTTATATTATTTGCCAAGTTTATGTCCCCTAAAATTCTCTTTCATTATTCTTACAAGAAAGACCGCCTCCGTGGTCTAGTGGTAGAGCGTCCGCCCGGAGAGCGGAAGGTCCGGGGTTCGATCCCTGGCCGCGTCATACCAAAAGACGTTAAAAGATGGTACTTGTTGTTACCCTGTCTGGCGCTCGGCATTAAGGGGCTAAAACAAGGACTGGTCGGCTCGGAGTCAGTATACTGTGTCTGAGTGGGGTATTCATGTTAAACTGCAGCATGGTATCTCAGTGAGCTAGCACTATAAATCGGCATCAGTCCGGACTAGTACAAGCAGCCACACACACACGTGCATGCACGTCGCTATACAAGTGCAATAATCTTGGACGCGACGTTAAACCCCATTTCACCACCATCCTTACAAGAATAGTACCAGATTTGTTAGAATCCCCCGATGGATCCAAATTTAGTTAGTTACAATTTATAGTCGGCATTATTTCACCCGTCTCGTGCATGCCATCCAAAAAAATATGCCTCTAGAGTTAATTCATTCGCTTTAATTTGTATTTTACAGAATCGGGAATCAAGGTTGCCGAATTTGGATGCGCAACAGGTTACATTTTAAACCAATTGGCATCAAGATTCAAGAACAGCACGTTCCTTGGTTCAGACGTAGCAAGCGAGCCATTGGTTGAAGCCAGAGAAGATGCAACCAGGCAAGGCCTTCAGAATATCACCTATGACACAGATAATATTGACACCATATCTAAAAGATATGCGGAGAGTTTTGATTGGATACTAACCCGCGATGTCATTCACGACTTGACATATCCACAGGATGCCTTAAACGAGATTTACCGGTGTCTGAAACCAGGGGGAATTTACAGCATGATTGATGTGGGAATAGAGGGGGGCATAACTGGCAACATTGCTAATCCTTCAGCGATGTTCTACTACTCGGCAAGCACTTTCTTCTGTATTCCGGAAAGCTACCGCAAGCCTGATTCTGCAGCACTTGGGGCAACGTGGGGTGCACCTTTGGCAAGAGAGATGGTTGCTAAAGCTGGTTTCACCATCATAAACGAGTCTGTGAGTCGCACAGATCCGTTTGAGGTACACTTTGTCTGTCAGAAGTAGATTTCAGTTGCATCTGATGCGCCTGGAAATCGTTGGTGTTTGGACCAACATTTAAATTGCTTTTTGTAGTTATAGTATCTGGTAATGTGGCTGACGACAGTACAAGCCCATTTACAGGTTGATTCGTAGAAACACTTTCTTGACGTTAAACCCCATTTCACCCAATTTCATCAAACACTAATCCACTCATTGGAAACCAGTTTTTTTCAAATGATGTTCTTAATTTCCTATTCGTCTTGTTATTAAATACGCTTGTTCCTGTCTGTTTGGATGTATGTTATAAAACAATAAATGGACAGAAAGTAAATTCATTACAACCTTACAATTTCTGTTCGGAAATTGGGAATGTAAGACAACACTTGACTAATATTATTATAAAGATAATGGTTTCTTTTGTTGTTGTTTTGGTTGAGTTTTTTTAAGTTTTGGATGGCCTCGTCCAGTCGCGATTATTTACAAACCACTGTCTCACAGCTTGAATCTTGCCGAGGGCTGAGGGCGGCAAATGAGTCCTGACACTTTCAATCCATGTTTTGGAAGTAGATCGATAACAAGAATATTGCTGGATAGGTGAACATACACTCTTCAAAAAAAGAAACGCACAGGTAGTATGTAGTTCATTGAACCTGACTACACAAAAAAATCCAGTATATAGATTGGATATATGTTGTTGGAAAATGTTGGTGGCCTGATATTCGACAAACGGTGCGATAAACGGTGTGTCAAAACGCAGCCATTGTCGATTTGCAATGTCTTAAACGACATTGTTTTCACACTTGTTCAAAAATGTCATGGAGGAAAAAGTAAATCAAAATGCACGTGCAAATTGTGGCATTCGTATCTCGTGGCAGTGGCTATAAACAGGCAAGCATAAGCCAGTAATTTATCATTCAATTGTCAACATTTGTCAAGTTCGAAAATGCCGAGACTCAACGCTGCCGATCGGAACATCGCCATAGGACGTATACAAAGAGGGGAAGCGCAGTCTTCTGTTGCACGCCACTTCAACGTCCACCACAGCACCATTTGCCGCCTTTGGGACCAATACACACATTTCAATACCACTGCAGACCATCCAAGAACCGTATGGTACATATCCTACACCACAAGATCTGTCTTGGTTGTGGTTCAGGGAAATTTGACAGCAAATCGCTACATGAATCAAATTCTTCAACCTCACCTTCTTCCAACCACTGACCGCCAGAGGGAGCTGTTGTCAACAGGAAAACACTCCACCGCACACAGCTCGTGTCACGGTAGACTACCTTCATAATGCCTACATAAACGACATGCCCGGGCCGCCGAGATCTCCAGATCTCAACCTAATCGAACACCTCTGGGATGAACTCGATCGACGTCGACGTCAACGTCAGAACATGCCGCAGACACCCCCGATGGCCAACGCGTTACAAGCAATAGCGCAATGGCGCAGAATTCCTCAGGACAGAATTCGTACACTTATCCAGTCAGTGCCGAGGAGATGCAGAGCCGTGATTGCCGTCCGGGGCGGTCACATGAGATACTGAGTTCAGCGCAGTGGCCTTCTGTGATATGACAATGAACAGTTTTCAATGCCTTTGTACAACGACAACATGTGACTATCGAGCTCCAAAATTTCATATTTGTATCTATGATATTAAATGAAATGACTTTATTAGGTACAATAAATTTACGAAAAATCTACCTGTGCGTTTCCTTTTTTGAAGAGTGTATTTACAATGTTAACACATGATCACTCCCATTTTGCTCTGCATTGTGTCAAATGATATAATCTGACGCCAATTTCCGATCCGTGTACTGTATTGAATGAATTAGAATTGCGTGTAGCGACAATAGTCGGACAGACCTCCCCAGCACAGCAGTGCGTGTAACGACAATAGTCGCACAGACCTACCCAGTACAGCAGTGCGTGTAGCGATAATAGTCGCACAGACCTACCCAGTACAGCAGTGCGTGTAGCGACAATAGTCGGACAGACCTCCCCAGCACAGCAGTGCGTGTAACGACAATAGTCGCACAGACCTACCCAGTACAGCAGTGCGTGTAGCGACAATAGTCGCACAGACCTTCCAAGCACAGCAGTGCGTGGTGCGACAATAGTTACAGACCTACCCAGTACAGCTGTGCGTGTAGCGACAATAGTCGCACAGACCTCCCAAGCACAGCAGTGCGTGGTGCGACAATAGTCACAGACCTACCCAGTTCAGCAGTGCGTGTAGCGACAATAGTCGCTCAGACCTACCCAGTACAGCAGTGCGTGTAGCGACAATAGTCGCACAGGCCTCCCCAGCACAGCAGTGCTAGGTGCGACAATAGTCACAGATGTACCCAGTACAGCAGTGCGTGTAGCGACAATAGTCGCACAGACCTACCCAGTACAGCAGTGCGTGTAGCGACAATAGTCGCACAGACCTCCCCAGCACAGCAGTGCTAGGTGCGACAATAGTCACAGACCTACCCAGTACGGCAGTGCGTGTAGCAACAATAGTCGCACAGACCTACCCAGTACAGCAGTGCGTGTAGCGACAATAGTCGCACAGGCCTCCCCAGCACAGCAGTGCGTGGTGCGACAATAGTCACAGACCTACCAAGTACAGCAGTGCGTGTAGCGACAATAGTCGCACAGACCTACCCAGTACAGCAGTGCGTGTAGCGACAATAGTCGCACAGACCTACCCAGTACAGCAGTGCGTGTAGCGACAATAGTCGCACAGACCTACCCAGTACAGCAGTGCGTGTAGCGACAATAGTCGCACAGACCTCCCCAGCACAGCAGTGCGTGTCATGCAGGAAACGAGAAACTTGTATGCTCATATTCGGCAGAGGCGTGTCAGTTACCATGGTCGTAGAAGACAGAACTAACGACATATTCCGATTGACAGAATTACATGCTTTACAATGATACTAATTACATTAATCAATGGATTTTTCATCGATATAACGTAGATGAAAAATAACCGTTACTTACGAAAGTTTTGCGGCGATTTGGGGATTAGTGCAACATGCATAGGCCATGTTCAAATATAATGTTGGTGATGTGGCTGTCTAAAGAAATCTATCAAAAGTAGGTTCAACAACGACAACATAATGTAATTTGCATATATCGAGTCAAAACCTGGATTTGGAGAGAATTTGTCATTGATATATGTCACCGTATATTAATCGCTAATGGCTAAGCCCAAATTGGAAAACGACACACACTTCTATCATTCAGTCAAATAAACACAGCTGCAAAGTTGATAGGACAGGAATATAAAGTACATTGGGTCCTTCAGAAATCGATCTATGAATCTGCGAATACATTCTTTAACAATATTTCATCAATTAATAACCGCGTACTCCTCGAATAACTACGAGGACAACATGTCGATCAATTAGGCCTGGCAACGCGCATGTAGACGGGGAATTAGCTCTTGGAGGAATCCGGAACGTTTTATGCACAACATATAAACAGCAAATACACAATGAGAGGAATAGCTGCTCTGACAACAGAAACAACAGCGATGAGCGGACCCTCCAGCTCAACCTCCTGGACGTTTCCTACTAGTGGCACATCCTGCTCGAGGTCGTCCTCACACCAGCGCTCGGAATACCAAGCTGACTAACAGTGAAATGACAACACATATATAGTAATGAACAACAATGGACAGACACAGATACAATGACGTTGCTCTGGACATTGGACACATGGGCGTGATGAACCGACACAATTTAATTCGGGTCAGGGGAAGATCAATTAAGGCGACCCGTGAAGATCCTGGGTAGAATAGGTCTTCAGCAACCCACGACTATGCTTGTCGTAAGAGGCGACTAACGGGATCGGTTGGTCAGACGCGCTGACTTGGTTGATGCATGTCATCGATCCCAATTGCGTGGATCGATGCTCATGATATCAGTCACTGGATTGTCTGGTCGAGACTCGATTGCTTACAGACCGCTGTCTTATAGATAGACTATTGCTGAGTGCGGCATTAAACAATAAGCCAACCAACCAAATCAATAAAGGCAACAAATGTCATACCATAAATAACAGTAATTAACGGGAAGTGATATGGTAGTCCAGGTTGGCTGACAGTCAATATCCAATGAAATGTTGGTGAGGTTTAACAACGGGGGATCAGTGTCTGAAAATAATGACAATTAAGTTTATGGAGACATATACATGTCATGGCTACAGGGTAATTAGGCTTTGGTATCAGATGTTCTTCAGACAATGGTTGTCCCAAATCAATCACTATGACCCCAAGCTCACACGAGTTGAAATTGATATGTGTGAACTTTAACACCAAAAGAAACAACAGTGCAAATGTGTACATAATCAGTTAGATGTGTTCATGATATCGTTGAAATCCATGTGCAACAATTAAACCAATTCAATGACGGTATGAAAGAAATCATCTAGCCAGTTTGATTTAGTGCCTGTTCGAAAAATAACCACATGATCTATGTAATGTGCGATTTCACTACGAAGTATTTACCACATTGCACGGATTCAATAAATATTTCACTGAAGGTTCTTTGAATTCAGGAGTCTGGCTTGGCGGTGAGACTCAGTACCAAATAATGATAATGATTAATGGCATAAAAAGTACAAATTAAACATCTCAGCAAATATATCGCATAAAGAAATTTGAAACCAGGAGTCTAACTTTACCGCGCGACTCAAACGGTACTTGTGGGTACCTTTGCCCTTTTAAGTAAAATAGGTGCTCTTCCCGTGTCTTTGGCGGAGCTTGCCCAGATATTGTGGGTACTATGCCCCAGAAATAATCCTTAATTCCGACATCAAAACTCTGAAATGCTGAATACTGCTTTGCTGTTAATTTCCTTATACTGACATACAATATACATATGTGTGGGGGTGGCTTACCCAAGAATATCCCTAATCTGAATTCAAAGTCCTAGACAATCCCTTCAATTGTCTACCAAACTGTGCGTATTAATAACTTTTAACAAATGACAAATTTTGATTTTTGAAATTATGAGTCCAGCTTAAAAGTGTGACACGATAACCCAGCAGCTTAGGTCTGTCTGGGCCCTAGCTGTGTCTATATGTCTGGCGTGGCCTAGAGACATTTCAAAGATTCCCTACACAATAACTTCAAAGATTTAGCTTGACTAAAGGTGAAATTTGCAGTATATTGCACATATACAAAAAATAATTTTGGAAAGACACATTTGGGCATTAATATACTGGCTTTGATCAAACATACCTGGTTGCACTTATCAACAGTCACACAATATATATCCTGGATTGAGTCCATGTAAGTAAACACAAATTAGTAAGTCCCAATGAGACATCTTGTACACAGTGTCCATCTTGTAGGTGCCCGTGAGGTGGCTTCTGTATTGTGCAGGGTCTGCATGATGATGGCTGTGGTCGGATCTCTGTGT